GTCTGTGTTTTGGTCATTTGATTAAAATTCTAATTTTTTAGTTTGTCACACCTATAAAAAGCTTCTCATTGAGCGTACAGGAATGAACAGCTTTAGGTTTTGTACATTATTTTACAGAAAGAGAACCAAAGAGAAGGGGCACATTCTGCAACTTTGACAAAGGATATCATTTTCCTGTTTTTTTCCAAACAGCAGCATATAGGAAGTGGCCGTTCCAACCGTTGCATTTGCGAATTCTCCAGAGTGGTGCCCGACTTTCCATGAGTGAATAAAGTGAATTTGATTGGTCGTTTATCAAAGGGGCGGGATTGTTGTGGTGGTAGGTGCGCAAGCAAGTTTGATTCTAGCCGGTTTATCGGAAGCGTCTTGCTAACCAGTTAGCAACTTAGTGCTAGTAGGTTCCCAATGGGAAATTCCATTGGGACCAAGTAGCACTAAATTGGTGAATAGAAACGACACTGTCAAGGAACGCTATGGACAGTGGAAACATGCAAGAGGAGGTCGTGGATGAGTCTCCTCCATCATACATGTTTTATATAGAGGAGGAAAGTGGGGATGAAGATGTTGTGGAAGATGATGCCAGGGCAGCAGAAGCTTGGTTTGGTGTAGAAGGCTTACAGCTGTACATGTTTGAGCCCTTGCCTCGCAACGCTGCCAGTTCTGTTAGCTCTACGCCTGCTGAAGACACAGACGTCCATCCCCGTGAACACTGGGACGCAACTTAATGGGAAAGGAAATGATTCTTATTTCAACCAATGCGTATATTAGCTGCGACATATGAATCACGATGCTATGACTGAAAAATGTGATTGACAGATGACCGTTGATATATGATTGGCCGAATTTAGGTTTACAAGCTGACGTATAACTAACTGGCCTGCATAAAATAAACAAAAAAAAAAACAAACAGATTTTAAAACAGGATTTTTTTTAAATAGAAATTTTCTAAAATTTGGGACAATATAGTCTGATAAAGAGTACATTTATTTACATTTTTAAGCCAGAATGATTTAACATTTAAATATAACTTCCCTACAACTTTATCACAGTGTAAACGAAATATTGTCCCACAGGATATCTGTGGATGGGTGAAGGTATGAACAATATAGCAACCGATGTATTAAATTTGGACAGATGTATTGTTGATGGATAAAATAACCTACTGATGAATGGATGGATGGGAGCATTGATTAAACTAAAAAAAAAAAAAGGTTTAGAGATTCAAAACAGAATAAAAAAGGATGGAACTAAAATAAACTGTCCATACTCCATTGTTTTTCACATGCCTAGAATTCATTCTCTTTGCTTAATTGTGTTTTGTGAATAAGCTTCTTATATTTGGAAAGAAAAGGACACAGCATCTTTAGAAAACCTCTTAAACCTCAAAGTTAGGACGGGCAGGAAGGCTTACCATGTGTGGATATTTTTCTGGATCTGTCACACTGATGTCTGTCAACTTGATGTTCAAATACTGCAACATAAATGAGAAGAAAAGAAGAAAAATAACATTACAAACCACTGTAACATTTTAAAGACTTGAAGTATATTAAAAAAGATAATAAAATCCAACCTGATCAACAGAGTGAAGTGTTCCACATATGCTGCAAATAGAAAATGGATATCAGTTCTTCTATTATGAGCATGCATTACTGGGAACATGCAAAAAAAAAAAAAAAGCTGCTTGACATACATAGATATTTCTGTTTTCATAGAAATATCCGTACAGTAGTTTTGACTTCGCAGATGCAGCTAGCTTAGTCGTTTTCTCTAAGTGAAAACCAGCAGTTACAGCGAATAAAATATTAGTGTTTGGTCTGCATCATAAAGCACCAACCTCAGGTCGTTTTTGAGCTCCACCACCACGTCCTTCCCCACCAGCGACTTGAAAAACGAATAGAAAAGCTGGAAAAGAGAGCGACAAGCTAACGTTACTGCTAGCTAGGAGCTACATGTCGAGCACGATGGAGGCGGTTTATAGAGAAGCGCTGCACTCAAACCGCCCCAAATAATCAAGATAAACGCTGAATTACATAATAAATACTCTGAGTTTAAGGAGTTTACGCGTAGTTTGTTATTAAATCGTAAAACTTGTTAAGCTTTCCTACCATTCTTGCTGGGTTTAAGTCCGTCTACTGTTAATGACGTATGAGGCTGCAAAGACTCGCCGACCCCAGCAGGGGGCGCCAGAGATGTTTTTAGCGCTCAGAGCCTGAAAGGAGAAGTAGGACTTTTTTTAAATATAGTATAGAACGTTATTGACTGATGATTAATGACATACAACTTGGAAACACTTTACAGAAAAAAAACAAGTATAGGAACAAATGCAAAAAAAAAAAAAAAAATCAAAAACAAAAAAAACACCTAGAATCCTGCTACATGTACATTTAAATTATTATGTCATTTTATTGTTTTGATTGATTTCTTTTTCTTTTTTTATCCCCAATTTTTCATTGGTATGCCACTGTTTTAAGATCTTTCATATTTAAGATAAAGGAGGGTGTGTTTTTTTTCCCCAAATAATTTTATATAGATAGTATTTTGATAAAATTATAACTAAATTAATTCTAAATATTTTTTCATCAATTGTTACATTTGGATTAGCGACCATACAAAGTATTTCAAGTGAGCTCAGAAAAAAAAAAAATAAAAAATAAAAAATAAAAATAAATTATGCACACACACATTAGAGATAAATTATATATATATATATATATATATATATATATATATATATATATATATATATATATATATATATATATATATATATATATATATATATATATATATATATATATAAAATTTATCTTTTTATTTTTTGGGGATATATATCTTTGAAAGTGGAACCAGAAAGAAGCAATGTGGACATAATGAACAAAAATATGCGCAACGGGTTCACCTTTACATCCACAAAATATACAATTGTTACTTGCAGTAATAAAAAAAAACTTAGATATATTTATTAAGGAAGGAGTAATGCTGATTAACAATTTTGAAAACAGCCTCTTTGACTTTGTTCATATCAATTTATCGATAAAGAAATAAAAAAGTTCCAGAGTTTCCTGTCCTTTAGAGTCTGTATCTGTGTTTACATACAGGGTTAGAGACGAGAAAAGGCTCATTCCTGCTAAAACATGGTTGCATCTATTATCTGTAAGTGGGATTCCAGCTATAGTAGGAGAACCAAGTGATAAAGGCAGAGAGGTTTCAATGCTTTGTGCTAAATAGACAATACCAATCTGAATAGCTGTTCACCATTTTAAACTCTTTTCTAGAAGTATTGAGAAGTAGCGGACTGTGTATGGTAGCCTCAAAAAATAGCAAAAATCAATTACTTAAACAATTCTTAGATAATTAATTTAGCTAATAATAATAATTCAAACATGTTACCGGAACTTTTTAATCAAACAAAGTACATGTAATTAAATATTTCCCATTTGATTTTGCTCTACGGCAGCACAGGAATTAAGTGATGACAATTTGTTGTTTTATGTAAGTACAAAGGCTATATGGCCTACAAACATGTAGGGTTAAAAACTATTTAGTATTTTGTAATCTATACATTTATTGTTGTGATACTTTGCATACTTTACTTTTTTAACGTTGTGTCATCACAGACTATTAAAGTAAGGGCTGCAGTACACAATAAATATTTAAATTGTGACTAAATCATCTCCTGTTTACATGTAGTCTGATTTAAACACACCAGATAAGTAAAAAATGCCTTTTTTTAGGTCTGTATCTGACTTTCTCTAAAATAGAACATTAGTTTATGTAATCCTTGCAGGCAGAGAAAAAGTCTCTTGAAAACATGAAAGGGTTTTTAAAACCTACACCTAAACCTGCTGATACAAACCAAAGAAAACAAAATAAGGCAAATTCCTCCCAGATTATATTTCGTTTATTAGAATTATTTGTTCTTTTAGTTGTAGAGCTATTGTGAAGTTTTATAGATATAATTTCTAGATATACATCATGATTGCAGGTGGGATAAAATGCTAAATCTGGTTCTTCTATGTAAATTGTAAATTCTGGTTGCCATATGTTTTTTCTCCATTTATCTTAGTTTTCATGCTTTAGCTCTGGTCCCTGCTTAAAGCCGGAGTAGGAATGTGCAAATGGGTCTCTATGTAAGAATATTATACAAAGAATCCCTGTCAGTGTGGACAAGGCCTGATAGGCAGGCAGATAGCACTTTAATTTGCATATGGTTTACAACAAAGTTTGAATATCTTCATAAATGGATGTATATTTACTTTTCACAAAGGAGATATTGTGGTTAAAATAGGCAACCCTCTCCACATATTCTATAAAGTGACTAAAGACACACAAAAACAAATCCTCCATCACTTACATAGATATTAGGTCAAATTGTAAAAACTGTAATGCATAAAAAAAAATAGACTATACTTTTTATAAATGCACTTATAAGTTTGCTGGTGAAGATTCTCAGTCATAGTCATTCCGTAAAAGTTTAAAAAAAAATCTGCTGGACTTTGTTTCCAAGGTTTGAAGACGTTTCGCTTCCCCTCAAGGAAGCTTTTTCAATTCAAAAGGGGAAGCGAAACGTCTTCAAACCTTGGAAGCAAAGTCCAGTGGATTGTTTTTCAAACTTTTATGGAACACTTACAAGTTTACAAAAATTACAAGTTTCTTCACAACCAGTTCAAAGTTTTATAAGGAATCACCTTGTGAAAGAAAAGAAAATCAATAAAAATAATACACATTGCCATTAAACTTCCACAACTGTATTTATTTTGGAATGTATTATACATTTGGAGACAAATATGACATTGTTTGTGCAATTTAATACTGTGTGGTATACATTCATCAGCCACAGTATAGTGTAAAGTCCCATTTCTAATTATTTGAAAGCAGAATTAGCTTTTGTAACCGACAAGGTGTGTGACGAAAGTTTAGCAGATATCGACTTTCTGTAACAGTAAAGTAAGATCGATGCAGCGACATCAGACAAAAGATCGCTTTTAACCAAACTCACATCAAACTGAAATATAATGTGATTTCATTTCTTGATCTCACATTTGCTTTGACCTCTTTGGACTACCATAGAAACATAGCTGACTTGGCGAGGAAACAAAAAAAATAAAAACTAAGCTAATAAAAACATAGCAATACTAGTTATGTTTAGTTTCTAATCCCAGATCCCATTAAGTGGCTTATATGGAACAAACTGACAGCTTGCTGGGCCCCCACCAGGTGTGATCTGATCAATTTAAAGCTGCAGCCATCGTTTAGATAACTTAGCTTAGCATAAGACTGGAAATGTAGCTTAGTTCTAACTAGTGTTGCACCGATACCAGTATTGGGACGGGCCCCGATCCAGCACTAAAATGGTGGTATCTGTATCGGCGAGTACCAACAAATAGGGCACCGATACCATTTCGAGAGCTAAACTTTTTTCCAACTATTGTATTCGACTTTGTATTAGATTTTTTCCTGCTTCACAAAGGTAGGCAACAATTATTTTACATCCAAGTAGTATGCATTTCTTCATATTTACACACACACATCAATTTCAAACAGATATTATCGGTATCGGCCGATACTGCACAGCCAGGTATCAGGTATCAGTATCGGGGCCAAAAAAATGGTATCGGTGCAACACTAGTTAACTCAAATCTATAACAAAGGGAGAAATATGTTTTTTTGACAGTGCAGAAAAGTAATAGGCTATACTGTGACACAGTGATGAAAAGAAGCAGTTGGAGCTTTGGCTTCACTTAATGCAGGAAAGGCAGCTGTTCTGTCAGTGCTGGCTTTTTTTTGCAGCTTTATCTCAGTTTATTGGACGGCCCGTCTTTGGAAACTCTGGATGCACTGAGAAAAAAAAAAGAAAAAAATCAATTAGTGTCTGTTTATTTAAGTTTATCTATTAAGTCTTTGGTGTTCCTTACTGTCTTTGTTAGGCAGGTATGAACCGGGTCTTGATGGGATTCTCTGTTTGCTGGGAAACTCTGAGGTTTCTCTGTAATCTCTGGGTTTGGGGTTCTGTGGATCTGGGCGGGATTTGGACGGCAGAGGAGGCTGATTGTGTCCCAACCCTCCCTCTGAGCGAGAGGGAACCACTGGTTTCTTGTGTCCTGGGGGATGTAGGCTGATGGGGGTGGGAGGCTGGGATCTGTTCTCAGAGGAGGTGAAGGAGCGGTTGCGTGGCATGGGCAGCGGGGGGCGATCAGACTCTACGTCTGCTGTTGGTGTAAGAAAGTCTGGCTGGAGGTGGGCTTGGTCTTTGTGTAATTTGGACATCGAACCGTACAGTGGGTTGTCTAACATCTCTGACAGCTTCTCATCTTCACTCCTAGAGGAGGAGAATCCATCAGTAAGGATAGGTTTATCAATTGTTGGATCACATCAAGCGTAAATATTAATTATTGTTCTATGTTCTAAAAACAATGATAAAAAAATGAATCTGGTCTGTAAATAAAGAAAAAATACTGAACCTCCCTTTAACTTTTTTTCTTTTTCATAAAAGGGTAATTTTTCCCCTTGGAAAAAATATTATGAAACTTCAGTTTCCCCCTTTTTTACTTTATTTTCTCCCTCTTTATTTAGTTCCTTCTTCCTTTTATTTATTTTATTTAGTTTCTTTCCTCTTTTCTATAAAAAAACAACAGAACTAATTTTTTTTTTTGCCCTTTTTCTTTTGGAAAAAAATGGAATCAAATATACTCGTTTTTCCCTTTTTTTCTCCCTTTTGAAAGCTGTTTTTCCCTCTTTTTATTTTTCCTTCCTTTTTTCATTCTGAAATAAAAAAAAAACCCTGCCTCTGGACTGGATCGATGGACAAATGTTCTCTCACTCCGACATCTGGGTATTCCCACAGGGCAATCAAGCTCCACAAGCTTTAAAACTGGTTTTAAATCAGGGGAAGCAGGCTATCATTAGCCATCTGACATGACCCAGACCTCTACCTGAGTAGAAATGTATGAACTAGGCCTATAAAGTGGCTTAAAACCAATTGATATAAATAAATCTATTTTCTCCAAGAACAGTTGTTGAGTATGTAGAAGATGTATGATTGAAAGAAGGTTGTTTCTCTACAACTGACTAAAAACATTAAAATCAAAACCAAGTGTGTTTTCATGCCTGTCTCACTGTGAATACCTTTAAACCTGTGTTGCTTGCAGAGAAATGTCATACAGTTCAAGCTTAACCAATTGAAGGGTTTAAAACATGCTAAAGGTAAAAAGCAGATAACAAAAAATTCCAAAATCTATTTTTCACTTACTTGCAATGATGCAATCATTTCAGCAGCGGTGCACATGCTATTGGATTTTTTTTAATCTGTCCATCATAAAGCGTTCATTAAGGCAAGTACACCGTGCAGAAGGGGTCGGATACTGACCACCAGTGGCGGTTCTATACCAAATGTATCCGGGGGCCAGGAAGGGGGCCAGAATTGTTTTCACGGGGGCACAGAAAAGCGTGAAATATAAATCGGGGCAAGGGATTCAAATATATTAAGAAAGCTGCATGAAGTCAATTTTCTATTCAATTGTGTTTAATCGAAATTGTATGTCTTACTAGGTCAATATAAATTCACAATTTAGGAATTTAACATATTTTTGACTTAATTTAAGTTGAAATCACTGTTTTCTATAAAATCTGAATTAGATCGCAAGAAAAACTGTTAAATTAAGCTGTTAAAATTAGATTTTTATTTGTTTTGAAAAAAACATTTAGCAGTTGAAAACTGGGATCCTATCTCTATATTGGTATATAAGCTTTGAATTTGTAAAGAAAGAAAATAAAATAACCATGTAACCTGTAACCATGTCTGTTTCAGCGCACATCATCTTTAGAATTTCTCTGAGTGTTATGTCTTCAGTACAGGGGCCTTAACAGGGGCCAGGACATGATCTACAGGGGCACTGGCCCCGGTTGGTCCCTGCCTAGAACCGCACATGCTGACCACATGGTGGACCTATCTTGTATTTGGAAATGGCACCTTTGCACCCCAGAAAGCATGGGTGCACCATTCCCTATAGAAGTGTGTTAATAATGAGGCACTTACGCGGTATAATTTATGGCGGTGGAATTTCTTGGGCCCATATCATAACCGGGCTTCTTGGACTCTTTACCTCCTTGTCCACCACTGGGAGCATTTCTCGGGGTCATGCTGTAACTCCAGCCCTTATCTGTCACATTCCCACTTTTGAATGAAAACCCCATGTAATTGGGGTTAGTAATATCGTGTGTTTGTGTAACAGAGGACCTGTTAACAAAAAGAAAACACAATGAGTCTCACTTTAAGATGCTTTTTGAAGTACGACTGTGTGAAGGGCCTCTTACTTGTCTCCACCTCTGCTCTTTGAAGGAGCAGCGTCGTCTCTTTCAATTTTTATGAAATCTGAAAAATATTTGAAAACAAATAGATAAGAAACAGTTCATCTGAGGAACTGGGAAGAGATTGAACGAGCAGCAGGTTAGCTGATTTCCAGTCGTACCGTATAACTTCTCAGTGGGTTTAAACTCAGAGGTGCGTAGCTGGATGCCACCAGTCAGCGTGCCCGTCTTCTCTCCGTGGTGAGTCAGCGTGATCTGGAACTCCCTATAGCAGAACTGTGCCGCTCGCAGTGCAACACATCCCTCTCCTTTAGGCAAGGCAAGACAAGGCAAGGCAAATTTATTTGTATGGCACAATTCAGTATAAAGACAATGCAAAGTGCTTTACATGATTAAAATGTAGCAAAATAAAACAGAATCAAAGCAAGTAGGAAAAAAAAATATTTACCTAAAAATATTTAGGGAGAACATATCAGAAAGGACCATGGCTCAATGAAAAACGACACAAAAAGGGACCGGCATCCTTACCGTACGACTCGTCAGAGTCTGTCGATTTCACGCATATGAGGATGTGCTGATCCAAGAGGTACTCGGGGTCAGAGATGATCGGAGTGAGCTTTGAGAGAACAGACCGGAGGCGATTATTACTAGATCTGTTTTGGTAGTAACTGTGGAAAGGGGCTTTTTTTTCACCTCGACTTTATTCCCGAACCAAACTTTTATGGCGCCGTCAGTATCTGTGTTATCTCCCTCTGAGGTCTTCACAGTTTCTGAAGGGAACAAATGTTTTTCATAAGCTCAAATCACTCAGGGAATAATCCAGCAACGTGCTCGCTATGGTTTAAGACTAAACCTACTCTCCAAGCAGCTGGAGTGGAACTCTATAAAGAACCTGGTCTTTGACTTTGTCAGCAAGATGGCCACACAGTTCATGATCTGGATACCACCCTGAGGAGCGCTATTGGGATCTGAAACATCACAGAGGAGGCCAAGCATCAGAACGCAGTTTTACACATCCTTCACTTTACTTTAGGTCAACTGGTTTGTTAAAGATAGGCGCTGTGTATGCACTATACCTTGCTTGGAGACAAACTGGGATGCAACTCCCACTTCAAACGAGGCAAAAACAGGCGAGTGGTCGCTGGTCATGATGTCATTAGTGCATCCTGAAGGTAAAAAAAGTCCAAACGGTGTTTTTCATCAAATGTTGTCAAAAATACTTGGAGAGAACTTAAGACATAAGACCAAACATCAATACTAAAGAGAAAGAATAATGATGCAAAGACAAAGTTGGACAAAACAGCAAAACTAATTTTAAAATCTTCCTCTTATTAAATTTTTTTTTAAAGTTTAATTTCTGGATTACATTTTTTGTTATTTTTTATAAAAAAATTCAATTAACAAAACCTGTTCTTTCTTTGCAACAATAATGGAATAAAATTCACTCACTAACTCTTGAGAAATGATATGATACAAAAAAAAAAAAAAATGCAGCAAATCGCACCATAAGAAGGAAGGTCTGAACACAGCAGATCCAGGACAGTGAACCAGGAGCTACTTAAACTGCATAACTTCAAGCTCTGAATTAAAACCTGGATCTCAGATTAACATTAATCCCAATTTTAACAACGTCATGATCACAACTCAGAACATCAGGCATATTTACTGAATGATATCCTTTGTTACAGTTAGCATCAGCAGCTAGTTCAGCAGCAGTTGGAAAAACTTGGGCTGTTTCTCAATTTGCGTTCTTGAGCGTTCTTGTGTGCACGTGTACTCGTGACACGTCATCAGCCTCGGCCCGAGTACCGTTCCAATTCTCGAGAACGCCAGATCGAGAACACACCAAATCCCCGGATGTTGTTCTCGCCCCGCCCTCTTTATCGAGCATGCATCAGAGCAGACTTGAACGTTCTTCAGACTGACCGCTTCCCCCGAATGCCCCGCGGCCGCAGCTTGATTCAAGACAGCGCTCACAGTGGTAAGTTAAACATTCCCTTTTCTGCTGCTGTTGTTCTTCAAAAGTACGTTTTGAAATCGTTTGAGGCGATAACATTATACATTTAAGCCTCCCTGTGTGGCCTGTTTACAGAGCTAGTGGGAAATTAAAAAATAAAGTCCGACGTTGAGCGGACCAGAGTGACCAGCAGACCTCCGAGGGTAACCGCAGCCAGGGCTAAATTTACCCCGTCTGTAGTACACTTCTCTCGGTCTAGTTATGTGTGAATTACCGCTTGTTCTGACAACTCCCAACAAAGAAATTCCCGCCATTGCTGGTTTTATACCCACGGTTCGGTAATTTAAAAAAAAAAATGTTTTTTAAGCTTTAGAAATTAAAAATATTGTTTTCAAAATGTTTTGTGTAGGGAATAAATAGTTTTGACTGTTAAAGAAATGCTAAAGAACGTTGCATGTGATGACGTCACGAGTACGCTTCTGCTCCAATACACATACCTGCTTGCGTGCTCGCGTTCTCGTCAAGTCCGATCTTCCTGCGTTCTCGTCAAGAACGGACTTGACGAGAACGCGAGTACGTACTCGCGTTCTCGTGAATTGAGAAACGGCCATTGTCTCTACTGAGCCGCTAGACTGAAAGTTATAAAAAGTTTGAGAATCAATAGTTTAGATAAATTAATCCTGTTTTTGAAAGGTTTCCATAAGTAGAGCCTTGATAATTGGATGATGCAGGACAAATACTCACCGTATGCTTGGCACACAACATGAACCAGAGGATAAGACTTTCGCAGCACTCGATCACACCATGATGGCAGGTTGTATTTTGTCTGCAAATGTAATTATTCATAATTAAGCCATGAATGTGAAGGTTTCCACTGAAAACATACCCAGTGTTATCTATTTGTGTAAACAAGGGTAAAATAAATACTAATTTGGAATTTTATCTAGATTCAGTTTTATATATGTTCCAGGGTGTTCAGGATTCACTTTTTACAAACCAAACACACTCTTACCCCAGTAGCTTTGGCCTTTGTGTAGGCATACTTCTCTCGTGTATCTCTCTCAAAGCGATACGTGGGTGGAAATGTTATTTCCTCCTCCTCTGCAGTTAACATAAAGATTAGATTGACTTTTTCACCACCGATTCAGCTGTTGCATGTCTGCGATGGTCTGCACTCTTCATAACTCACCAAAATGCAGGAAGACCTTTCCGTCATTCCTCTCCTTGTTGAGCTGGTCTCTGCCCAGGAGGTACTGGTACTGCTGCTGTTTGATCTTTGCCACAATGTCCTCAGCATCCTGCAAAGGGAAGTGGTGCAGTGACTGTTCAGGACTTAAAAGGGTTTGCAGCTTAGAAGGAGGATAACCTGACGCTCATTTAGACTTCAGTCACAAACTTGGACAATAGTGAACAGAGTGATCTGGGTCCAGCAAGATCTTATAACAAAAGAGAATTGCCAAAGCATTTAGACAGCCGGAAACTTTTTTTTTATTTTAGTATTTTTCCAACTTTGCTGAGCTTTATTTTGAATTCTTACACAAAGACAAATGTGAGTAACTCTTTGCATCACTCTGAACAATCAGGTCCCAATGGTTACACATGGTGGTGGCAGCATTATGCTGAGGGAATGACATGGAAGCAGGTTAGAGTTTATGGGAAGATTAATCGTTTCATATACAGGCCAACATTGGAAAGAAATCCTGTTAAAGGCATCAAAAGCCTTAACATTAAACAGGAGCTACACCTTCCAACAGGCCCAAGCTAAAAATTCACTCTAACAATATAATTAATGTATATGTTCAGACCTAAATCAAACTGAGATTCTGAAAGTTGAAAGCTGAAGTCTACAAATGCACCAGCTAAACCATAATATGCAATAGCTAAAAGCTAACAGCCTTCTTTGCTGCATCCCTAAAAATCAGGCCAGTAAATATTAGTTGAGACCAGCCAACCAGTAGGGGTGTAAATCACCATCTGCATCATGATGCAGAATCACGATGCTTTGTTCACAATGACAAAGCAAAACTTGGTGATATCACCAAGTCTGTCATGATACTGATGAGATGTAAATATACACCAATCCAATTATTAGCACATATATTAACTCACAGAAAATTCATTAACAAAACAAAATATTAAAATGCATCATCTGGTAACATTATGAAACAGTAAGGATGGAGCATCCATACATCTGTCATAAAAGGTTGTTTTTTCCCGCCACCACTCAGCTAGCATTGCATGACAGAGCAAATATCTCCCACCACAGCTCATGTATAACAGCTGAGCATGTATGTGAAATATTGCAGCTTTTATGTCACAGTGTACCTATTTGCTTCTGCTGTAATGCTCACTCTGGGATGTTTAAACAACTTTTATATGGCACTTGATTTAAACTTCCACATCTGGAAATAAAACTATATTCCATTCCTCTCCTTTGCTTGCTTTTCGTTTCCTTTCTTTTGCGTGTGTTACTTATCCTATCTTCCCCCTAATTTTCATGTCTTCCTTTTCCTTTCCTTGTCTTGCCTTTCCTTACCTTTCTTAAGATGATCAATATTTTATAATGGATCGTTGCATTGCTACTTCAAGTTCAAATGATTTGTAAATGGCCAGTCATAGTAAGGAAACAATAAGAGAAGATGTCAGTACTGACATCAAAGATGCAAAACATGGTGCACTACGATGAGAAGAGAAAGAAAGAAACTGTATGGATCCTATTATTATATATTTTTTTGTGATAAATGTTCAAGAAAAGTTCCCCTTGTATCCAAATCTCAGGGAAGCTGCAGGGAAAGCCTGGTTAAAATATAAAAGTCAAAGCATCTCATTTGATGCAATAAATATTAGGGTTAAAGGCAGCACATTCAGCAAAACCTAAAGAAAAATGAAACCCTTTTAGGGGGTTTTCAGACAAAAATGCAAGAACATGAAAGCACAGCTACAAAAAAAAAAAAAAGAAGAAGAGTGGAAATCCTTAAATTTGGCCTGTTCTACAGAAACGTGATCTGTAGACGGAGGAACTTTTGCACTTCTCTTTAAATTGAAGACATTTCGAATTAAATATGAGAACTAATGAAACTGATGGTTCAGCCATCTTTATAAAAATTGCAGTCTTCACCATAAGGTGCAATTTGCAATTTACGCAGATCTGAAATAGGGTTTTCCTTAACTGTTATTTTAAGAAGGTAAAGTTGTTTTAGCGTAATATTAGTTCTGCTCTGAATCAGCTGTCAGATTATCACCTACTGCAGAGTAAGATAGTGACTTTTAACAGCTTCCTCACTTCTGAAAAAGTGAAACCATCCCTTTGAGTTAGCATAAGTTTGAATCATACATCAGTGACCTACATAATCCGGATGTAAAATGCGGAGGATGGACCAAGTCATTACTTCCCAAGCAAGTCTCCTTTCTCTAAAGATGGGATAAAAAGTCAGTTAATAAGAGGAATTGAGGGTTACTATAAATGAAAGGCAAAAAATATGTATTCTATTGTTCAGCCAACTCATAGAATGTGCCATAGCAACAGCTTTGGCTGCGGCCACGAAACCAGTAACATCACAGCGGGCTCTGGTCTGACAGGAAATAAAGCAACTTTGTTTTGTTTATGAATGACGCATTTCTGGTGTTATCCGCAATCATACAGAGACATGAGGTAATGCTTTGCTCTGAAGGTATTGGGCTTTTTGGGTGGCCTAAAAAGAGCCTAAAATATTTCATTAAACTATACTAATTTGATGAAGTACTTTCCTCATTATGGCTATCCCTTTCAGTGTGTATATCTGCCATGTCTGCCAGGCAAGCTATCGGAGTCACTTCACACTTGGCTACACTGGGCAAAAAAACAGAACCGGCAGAGGAACGTTTTTCTAAATATCTTAAGACGGGGTGTCAAACTGGTTCCAAAAAGGGCCCTTTTGGCTGCAGGTCTTCTTTCCAACCAAGCAATAGCCCACCAGACTCCAGTTATCTCATCAAGTCATCATGTTCAGATTGGACTCAAGACACAAAGACCGTAGACCAGGAATCAAAACCCAGGACCCTCTTATTGGCAATACAGCGACAAACTAGGCCACCATTATAGCTTATTATAAGTAGAGGTCAAGTCCAAGGTGATGAGAATTTAGGTCAAAGTCTAGTCCAAAATCTTTTCGAATGTTACCAAGTCATGTCAGAAGTGAACAAATCTGTGGCTTTACCAGAGTAGTGGCCTTTGACCTGATTATGGGACTCCAAAGTGCTAACAGTAGGGAAGAAGCAACAGTGGCAACCAGAATTGATGTAAAAATCATTTCTGGGGGCGTGCAGGTGACGCAGCCGTTAGCACGCTCAAAGCCACGTACAGGTTCAAATCCGAACTGTGGTCCTTTGCCGCATGTCTATCCCCCTCTCATGCGTCCTTTCCTGTCAGCCTACTGTCAGAAAAAACAAGCCACTATTGCTGAAAATTTTTTTTTTTTATAATTTCTGCATTATTGCTTGCTTCATTCAATTTAGATTAACGTCTTGTGAAGTTGTGGAGAAACTGAGACTCTTGCAAGAGAAATATCAAATTTATTTTACGTCCTTAGACGGAGAGAAAAGCTCTGACTGGGACAAACCCAGCACACGCATTTATACTGTAGAAATCCCAACACACTCTACCTTGGGACCATCCCACCCCTGCATAAAGAACTTTCTCACACACGAGCATTTGGAGGAAACCAACTTCAGTTCATCAAGGACATTCCCTGTTGGGTTAAAATATCTTTCAATGGCCAGATAAAAGATCAGTATTTAAAGTTTCCTCGCCGTCTTTCATGCAGTGAGCAGAAGACACCTGTTCTGAAATGTTTATCACTCCTAGCCTTCATTTCACCCCCATTAGCCGAGGTTGAGGTTAACAATTCACCTTTTCTCTAAACCTGGTGGTCTTTGTAGTATTACTGGTGGTTGTCTTTAGCAATCATTGGTTACTGATCCATCAAAGAACAAACTGAGACACCGAAGAGACATGGGAGGAAGCTGTAGTATCAGGATATGGAAAACATGCAGACCCCATGCACAAAGACGTCAGGTCAGATCTTAAACCAGGATGCTACTAACCACGCATTCCATGGCGGCCATGATGGGATCATGCTGGAGCAGTAAAGCATGAACTTTATTGCAACTCATTATGGCTACTGATCAAGGAGTGAGAAACTTACTGAGGATGGAAGTTCAACACGATAGTTTAGGTCTCCCAGCCAGACGAGGTGTGTGAAGCGATGCGTGATGTCAAAGGGGTTGAGCTTTTTGTCACCCAGATTCAGAAACCTCAGGATATTGATGTAGTTTTGATTCCGTCTGCAGGAAAAAGGAAAATCATCACTCAATTTGAATTTTATCAGTGGGGGCCTCAATCACTACTAATTAAGAGATTTGGGAGTATTTGACGTGAAGCAATCGTTCCTTATAGTAAAACTGACCGTGTTAGGCCAACATTATCAAAGCTTAATGTTTACAATCTCACCTGAGTTTCTTCTCGCTCCCAGAGGTCAGGTGACTGTTGACAAAGCCGAAGGATGTTCCATTGAACATGAAAGACACTCCCACGGCTCCCTTGTTTCCTGCAAACAAGCCGATTGTTTCAGTTTGCACTTCAAGTGAAGCCCTCTGACGGTAACGGCCTCCTAATGAAGAAGTGGAACTGCTCACCCAAAGTGTTGGCAATCCCCGTCTTCACGCTGTCTGAGAAGACGTGGGAGATCCTGTTTTCATGCTCGGGCTTGGCCAGGACGATGATCCGAATGTTCCACAGCGTGTGAGTGGCCACCTGCATGCAGCACAATGCAAAGGTATTTACAGTCTGCTGCCTTTAGGCAACTTATTAACTTTATGGTGAATTTTCTTTTAACAGACCAATGCAAAGCAGGTCAAAGGGGTTAAATGAAAGAAAGATGGTTAGTGGTTTTGAAAAGATTTACAAATGTACCACCCAGATTTCATATTTGTGCATCCCTGGTCAGAACCTCTGAGACCTTTTTTTCTCTCTAATAAAAGCTTAATTAGTCATTAATTTTTCACTTTTCAAATATTCTTTTGACATATTCTCCAGATTTTCTTCAGAGTTACCATTATGATTCATTAGCTTGTAGGTTCAGGTCAGAGTTCTGCAGTTATTTCAGTACAAAGAGCTACTTTTGCTATCACTGCTGTCATGGTTTTCCCCTTTTGGGACTCTGAGTTTTTAGTTTTCTGTTATTAGTTTTTCTGTTTGTGTATTTTCCTTTATATTCAAGCAGTCTTTAGTTACTCTCAGTTGCCTCCTTGTGCTTGTTTCCTTTCCCTTTGGCTTCCTTCTAGTTAGTTCCACTCACACCTGCTCCATATTCAGCTCATTAGTCCATCCTTTGTTCTGTTCCCCTTATATACACCACCTCTGCAGTCACTTAGTGCTGGTTCCTTGCTGTTGTTATTTGCTTTCTCATCCCTGGCCTCCCACCTGAGTTTTCCTCGATGCTTTCTGGTTTTTGATTCCTAGTATTTCGTATTTCTGGAGGTCTGCCTCAGTTATTCATTAAACCAACAAGAACTCATATCTGCTTCACTGGTCTTTGCTTTTGTGTCCCCTAACTAAACTGTGACAGCTGCAACAAAACAAGATTCATCAAGAGCCATAATAAAAATTTTATAAAAATTAAAAGTCGAGGAAATTCAATGGAAATTTTATGAATTTTGAGGAAAAATTATTACCTGACCTTTACTACAAAAGATATTCATTGGTTTTGTTGAATTAGTTCATCTAAGTGAGCCACAATTAAAAGAAAAGACGAAGAAAAACGGTTAGCCCACCTAACAATATAAACCACGCACCTTAAGCTAAAAAACATAAAATGATTTGAACAAAGTGTGTCGTGCTGTTGTAAATGGTCTGTGCAGATATTGCATGAAACATAAAGAAGAGCCCTTGACCCCTCAGAGCCACATTGAAGAGGACAAAGCAGGTTGCTGATCCCTGGTTTAGGTGGTCGGCTATGTCTCGGTTGCTCTGTAAGATGTTCAAAGCTTTAAAATATTGTTTTATAATCCTAACCTGCTTAAAAATGTTTCCCCCATCTTGTCTGCTGTGTTCTCAATCTTCATGATGATGTTTGTTCACTCATTTTCTTACATTGAATTTAGTTTTTTTTATTTGCAATCCTTCTACTACCCAATTATGTGCTGCTCTGTGTTGAAACCTGAAACAGAGCTATGAATAAGCACTTTAACTCTGTTATTGTCACCTATATTCACCTGCTTGAAGCTGATGTTGGTGATTTTCCTCAGAGCATTCTTCACCGTGTCGGACCACTCTCTCTCACCCAAAGGATCCTCCTGGGTACCGATGACATAAACGTCATGAGGGATATGGTCGGCGGTGTCGTCCCGCGTCTTCCCCAGGCCCTTACAGTGAAACCAGGAGTCAATGTTTGGAGGAGGACCAGCATTTCCTGCATGTTTGGGAATCAGGGTTCACACTATCAGCAGATGCCTGTCTGAATTTTGATCAATGGTGAATGTAGAAAGGTCCGTTTACCCATGTTCCAGGTGCCAACGAACACTGTGATCATGTCTGGCTCAGGCTTTTCTGAGTGCTTGTTCTTCATCTGTTGAAGCAGCTGACAGAAGCCTTCTCTTTTCTTAAGAAATATGGACAGAGGTAAAACAGTTATCGGGGAAAGAAACCTTGAGGGCATTTATTACAGTTTTCTCATAAAAAAAAAAAAAGCATTTGGCTGGAATCACCTTTGTGTCGTCAAACACAAACTCCTTACGCAGGATCTTCTCCTTCTCTGTCTCAACCACGATGACGAGTTTAGCATGCATCTTCTGGGATTTCACCAGCTGCAGGACTGAAGAACAGGATTTAAAACAAACTGGTAAAGCTGTTAAATAATTACATAAAATACAGGTGAGAGAAGAAAGCAACTTGAAAGCTGGGAGGTCCCTTTCCAAGTTATGGTTTTATGGACTTCAACAGGGGTTCCCGGGGGGGGGGGGGGGGGGGGGGGGGGGGGGTCTTCAGGCTTCAAGGTGTCTAAGGGAGAGGGGTTGTTTATCCTATTAGGGAGTGTTTGGGATCAAAATAACCGTTCTCATAACAAGTTAGACTGTTTCTCAGGGTTTTTTATTCATAACATTTACTGTTTGCTCCAAAAGCCTGTAATTGTTTTGAGTCACAGTGTGTGAAGACCTTCACAGCCTTTCTGCAGAGTTTAAATTAGTGAGAGACCAACTTTGTCTAGTCAGAGCAGAGATGGACATTATGCCATTTTGTTCTCTTTTTCTTTCAAAAGAGTTCCAAGTCAGTGAATTACCATCTCTTTCCTTTATTTAACTGGACTGCAGAGTTGAATTCATTTTTCCCATTACCCCTGGTTATGTATTAGTGGGAGCTTTGAGAACAAGCGGGAGGAATAAAAACACAAAACAAATCTATGTTCAGAAATCAGTTCTGAAAAGAACCAGGAAGAAGCATACAGTTATTTACTCCTCCCACCATTTGATTCTTAATTTATATATATATAAAATTTATATATATATATATATATATATATATATATAGTATATTAAAACTATCATATTAAAACTAGTTTTAATATACAATATTATATATATATATATATATATATATATATATATATATATATATATATATATATATATATATATATATAGTTTTAATATACAATATATATATATAATAGTTTTAATATACAATATATATATATATATATATATATATATATATATATAAATCATGAAAGTTATGAGGAACTGACTTTATTATAATTAATCTTCTATTTACTTATCAGTTTTTGTCGTAGGAATGTATATTTTTTACTAAAATTAGATTAACACAACACTGGATAAATCTATGTATACTCAGGTACAAAATCATATAAGTTATGATACAATACACTGTAACCTGTTTTCTTCCTTCTAAATACTAACATATTTTCATCATGCACTTTTTTAATTCATTTGTGTAATTGTTATTTTATTACATTTGTTACATATTACATATATTTTTACTGTACTGTACTCCACAACTTCAAATACACAGACTTTTTCAGTGAAGCATATAAAATGTGTTTTAGACTTGACTTCAACTCTCAATCCAGAGCTTTCTTTGTCACTGAATAAATTTAGCAGATTGCCTAAGTTCTCTCTGATGATACTTTTGTCTTGATTTCATTCATAGGTCTAAAAGTTACTCTTTACATGATGTGTGTCAAGTTAAAACAGCAAATGGTGTATTGGTGTGAGTGCAATACCATCTCCACCCAACTGGTACGCACCTCACAGAAATCAAGCGCACCCATCTGTCTCACTCAGGCCTTCAGGAGCCTATAAAGTAATTCAACACACCTGTGTTCTGAGCAATCTCTACAGACAAAGACCTCATCTTCAAGCTCCTGCAGAGACATCACTGGTAGGAAATGAACTTTAAAACATTAAACCTGCATTCAGAGGACCTAGCAGGCTTTACAAAGATGGATTTATGCATTTGGAATTAACTTTGTTTTGCTTATTTATTGATAACTCAAAAGTAAAAAACATTGACTCGAAACTTATTAATTCATTGTGTTTTGTTTATTTGTAGGTTTTCAACCTGCTTGGTTGTCTTGTCTTTGAAATTGAAGTGATTTAAAGAAGAAAAAGAAAAGAGAAATAAAAAGATGACACTGAGATGAGTTGGTCCTGAGTCTCTTTGATGGGAGCAAGCCCTTTTCAAGTTTGGGCAGAAGGCAAGGTGGTTTGTAGAGGCCAAAAACTTGACAGTTGAAAACCAGTGGAAAACCACTTGGAAGCCAATTGGAAACCAGTTGGAAACCAACTGAAGACCTGATGAAGGTGAAGTCCTGACAAAAGGGCTTTGACAAATCAACTCAAGGAGGACATCAGGTCATCTCATCTGTACAATCCACAATGGCTGAAGAAATGTTTGGAAAGTCACTGAAACAATTGAAGCTGGATCGCACCATGGCAAAATCTTCCTTCACCAAGCAAGCAAACTTCCTGAGCAGAAAAGCTTCCAACATGACAGAGATGGAACTGCGAGAGGAGTTCAAAAAGCTAACCTCTGATGCCAGACATGTAAGTGATTCAAATGATGATTACAAAGCTGGACTATTAGCAGAGATGGAAGTTGAAGCTGGTGAACTTGATAAACGGCAAGAAGCTGATTTGGAAAAGACTATTGATGACTGTGAATCAAAATTAGAAGAAGTCAAACAAATAGTTCAGTCTAATTTGTGGAAAAAATATGGTCAAGATGAGCTCTATACTGCAATCCAAGAGGCAGAAAAGGCATGTAATGATGCTTCTGACATAAAAGTTTTAACTGTGAACAAAAGTGCATATGAAGTCCAACTGTCCTTTGTGGAGAATGTGATCCAGGAATCTATTAAAAGTTTTGTGACCTGGGAAATATGGATTCCTGTAGAAGAGAGGGACAATATTGAAGACAGAATAAAACAGATTAAATTGATGAAAAATAAACTTCAAGCAAGAAAATCACAGTTTGCCATAGCACAAACGATCGCAGAGGAGAAGAGTAAATCAGATGCTGCTCAATCAGACCTTACATCTTTACCTATACTAGCTCCACCCGCACCCATTGTAAAGATCAGGCCCATTTGTCTACCAAAATTTCATGGCTGTAAAAGAAACTTTCACAGATGGAGAAAAGACTGGGAAAGTCTGCAGAAGCAGGGAGAACCAAGTGGCTCAGTGGAAGTGAAAAAGTTTCAGTTGTTGGATAGTGTAGATGAAAGGATCTGTAGTGAATTACACCTGTCTGCTTATGATACTGCTGCAGATATGTTCCGAGTGATGGAAAATAGGTATGGCGACAAGTCAAGTATTGCTTTAGAAATTATTGAAGAGCTTGAGAAGACTCCACCCCTGAAAGCAAACCAGCCAAGGAAGGTGATAGATCTTATACAAACAATTGAAAAGGCTCTAGCTGACTTAACAGAGCTAGGTAACATTGGAGCCATGAAAAACCCTCTGGTTATTAAATCTCTGTTATCAAAAGAGACTGGCTAGTTTTTATGGTTAATCCTGCCAATGCAGTTACACCAGATAACCATTTTGATAGTCTTCTCAAATTTTTTAAAACACAGGAGGAAGTTCTAGAGAGATTAGAGCAACTTGGAGTGAGTGAAAAGACTGAGAAGAAGGTTGAGAAACGACATGCTTTTACTCGATCCACAAGAAAGAATCATGTCTGTATTGTGTGTGGAGACGCAAGACATGGAGATAAAATATTCTTCTGCAAACAGTTCAAAGAAATGAATGTACCTGAAAAGCTCAACATTGTAAAGACATTGGAAACATGCAAAAGGTGTTTGAGAAAGCATGAAGAGGATGCTGGATGCATCAACACTTACCTTTGTAGAAACAAAGACTGTAAGAAAGGGAGCTTTTCAGATCACCATTTCCTCCTTTGCCCAAAGGGTGAGCTTACAAGGGTTGGGATTGATAAACCAAGAAGGAAAAATAGACTAACACAAGAGCAGGAGAAATTCATAGCTGGACTTTCACCAGAACTAGCAGAAGAATGCAGAAAAGCCTTTTCAAATGTAACTGCTTCAACAAGAAACACAAAGTGTGAAGTCCCTGGGCTTATGGAGTCATATGGACTAAAGGAGCAACCTGTCATTCTAATGCTGTTGGAAGTCACTGCAAATGCAGGCCAGAAAATTGGCACTTTAATTGACTTGGCTTCTGATACCAATTACATTACTCATCAAGCAGCTAAAAGGTTGAACCTAGAAGGTGAGAACATAACAGTTGTTCATGGTGTTGGGGGAATGTCAGTCAAAGTTAGAACAAAACGATACCTGTTAAAAGTTAGAGTCAAAACCCCCAAAGGCACAGTGAAAGCCCACCAGCTCATTTGTTATGGACTCAGTGAAATTGCTAAAGTGCATAAAGTCATTCAACCACTGCAGCTGCAAAAGTTTTTCCCAGATGTTGACCTGGAAGACCTCAAAAGACCAGATACCATTGAGCTGCTAATAAGTCACAGAGAAGGCAGACTGGCCCCTCAAAGAGTCAAGGTTGTTGGAGACCTGGTCCTGTGGAACAGTCCACTAGGCATGGCCGTGGGAGGAGCTCATCCGGACCTTTGTGAAGATGTCGACGTGGCAGCACACAGGTCAGAGACACACTTTGCTCGTTCTATGCGCACTGCTGCTGTAAAGTATGAAGAAGTCTGCAGTTTCAAAGAAGTTAAAGCAGAAAGCAAAAGTACAACTACCAATAAAGAGTTCATTGATTGGTGGAAGTGGGAGAGCATAGGAACAGCTTGTGAACCAAAGTGTGGTGGATGTCGCTGTGGGACATGTCAACCAGGTGGAAAAGATATGACATTAATGGAGGAGAAAGAACTTGAAATAATTAAACAAGGTCTTACCTATGTGCAAGCAGATGACCACAGTGATGCTCCCCACTGGGATGCAAAGTATCCTTGGATTGTAGAACCCACTTGTCTTCCCAATAACAGGAAAAGTGTTGAATCAACTTTCTTAAGAACAGAAAGACGATTAAATAAAGAGCCTGAATGGCAAACTGTCTATGCAAACCAGGTGCATGAAATGGTGGAGAGGAAAGCAGCAATAAAGCTAACAGAAGCCACCCTAAACAACTGGAAAGGACCAGTATGGTATGTAAACCACCAGGTGGCACCAAATCCTCATTCTGTGACCACTCCTGTGCGTTTAGTATGGAACAGCAGTCAAAGATTTGAAGGTCTAAGTATGAATGATATTCTGCTGAAAGGTCCTGATGTTTTAAATCCTATTCGTGCTGTTCTACTCAGGTTCAGAAGGGGACTGCATGC